CACTACTGGACCAGATCCTTGACCAAAGTAAGCATTCCAAAATATCAAAGCTCCTGCAATCATTGGAAAAATGTAATATGAAATTAGATAATAGTCTGTCATACGTGGTGTCTGATGACCAAGTCTTCTGCATACAACATGAGCATCTCTAACATCAAATCCATAGCTATCAACAGTACTCCACACTCCATTACTACAATACTCTACTCTCCCTTCCACTTTATTAGGACCATTAGGACCAACAAGACGCATACTGCCAGTAGAACAATTTCCTGTGTATTAATCTTTAAATCAAACAAATAAGATCTCAATACCTGGTACAATATTTCCTTTACAACTAACTCCAGATATACTGTACATGCGCACACTATAATAACTATAGTAACAACTTGATGTAGACTTTAAGCAGTCATTCAAACTGGACTCATTCCCAATGCATCTCCAGTTATTCAATGTTGGTATACCATGTCCATATCCAAAAGAATTATAATAATGAACAGGCTGTGCATCTATGTATATGTGGGTAGTGTATAAACCTCATGAGTTCATTATAATTCACTGTACCTGTTGCTGGTAGACCTAATTGTCTACACACTACAAATGCTTCTTGATATCCCCAGCCATTATCACAGACACTAGTCCATGCTCCATGATTACACACTTCAACAGTTCCTTCTGTTGGTATTAGTCCATCAGTGAGTCGCACTAATCCAGTACTACATGCTACAGAAACACAATAGATTCACATCTAATTAATTTGTACAGCCATAAGTACCTGGACAAACTATACTAACATCTTCTGAGTGTGAACAATCATAAGTATTACCAATATCAACAGCTTTATTACAATCCAGCAAGTTATTCTCAGATCCAGTACAGCGCAGGCGGTTGAGCCATATTGGACCAGTACTTTGACCATAATGAGCACCACCATAGTAACTTACAGCTGGAAACAAATAGAAACGTAAAACACTACAAATTTTTAATTATTACATTGTCCTCCATCTACTTCATATCCAAGCTGTCTACAAGCTACTCTTGCATTATAAGTACCATAGTATTGAAAGTAATAATTGCCACATACACTTCCCCATACATTGTTGATACAAATCTCTAGTCTTCCTCTGTAGGTAGCACTTCCATTCACTAACCTCAGTGTTCCATGCTGGCAGTTGTCATTAAGTTGACCTAATACAACTATAAAATAAAATGACAATTTTTATAGACTAAGATTTGCTATATATACCAGACACATTTAGAATCCACAAGATCACTTCAAGTAAATGCATGCTCTTTTAGTAAATGAAGTTCACAAACAACCAAGCTGATTAAGTAACAGTGATGTATTCCGTAACTGGAACTACATTAAGAAAAAATATCAATATTACATTTAAAATATAAACCATGTGCCATTAAACTTGACATCAATAGTTAGTGTCGCATCGCTTCAATTTACTGTTAACACACCCTCATAATTATTCCTCTAATCGCTTCCAGAATAAAAACTTTCTATTCCTGATTAAGTGCACCTCTTGGTCAAATTAAGAAAATTATTTTTGGACATTGTAATTAAAAGTCCCATTGTTTACAGGTGTATTGCTGACATTGCT